TTCCTTTTGTCAAGTTCAAGCTTGTGTTGATGTTCCGGTTCTTACTTAGTCAATCTTTCTTGCATGTGCATGTGTTCTACTAGTTCACTTCTTCCGTTTGTCAAGTTCAATCATGTGTTGATGTTCCGGTTCTTACTTAGTCAATCTTTCCTTCATGTGCATGTGTTCCACTAGTTCACTTCTTCCGTTTGTCAAGTTCGATCATGTGTTGATGTTCCGGTTCTTACTTAGTCAATCTTTCCTTCATGTGCATGTGTTCCACTAGTTCACTTCTTCCGTTTGTCAAGTTCAATCATGTGTTGATGTTCCGGTTCTTACTTAATCAATCTTTCCTTCATGTGCATGTGTTCCACTAGTTCACTTCTTCCGTTTGTCAAGTTCAATCATGTGTTGATGTTCCGGTTCTTACTTGGTCAATCTTTCCTTCATGTGCATATGTTCCACTAGTTCACTTCTTCCGTTTGTGAAGTTCAATCATGTGTTGATGTTCGGTTCCTACTTGGTCAACCTCTCCTTCATGTGCATGTGTTCCATTAGTTCACTTCTTCCGTTTATCAAGTTCAATCATGTGTTGATGTTCCGGTTCTTACTTAGACAATCTTCCATTAATGTGCGTATGTTCCACTAGTTCACTTCTTCCTTTTGTCAAGTTCAATCATGTGTTGATGTTCCGGTTCTTACTTAGTCAWTMTTTCCGTCATGTGCATGTGTTCCACYAGTTCACTTCTTCCTTTTGTCAAGTTCAAGCATGTGTTGATGTTCCGGTTCTTACTCGGCCAACCTCTCCTTCATATGCATGTGTTTCACTAGTTCANCCTCTCCTTCATATGCATGTGTTTCACTAGTTCATTTCTTCCTTTTGTCGAGCTCAAACATGTGTTTATGTTCCGGTTCTTACTTTAGTTGCTCTTTCTCTAAGGGATGGGTGACCGACATTGGGCTGCTATTACGGGGTGATGACTTGATTAGGACTAGAAGACTCTTGCCTTCTCTCTCTCTCTCTCTCTCTCTCTCTCTCTCTCTGTCTCTCTCTCTCTCTCTCTCTCTCTCTCTCTCTATCTATCTATCTATCTATCCTTTTCTCGCTCTCCCCCTATCCCTTTCCCTTCTCTCTCTCTCCCCCTTTTTCTCCCTCTCTCCTTTCCCCCCTTGCCTTTTCTCTCTCTCTCTTGCTCTCTCTCTCTCTCGCATCATCATCTGGCCCTCTCTCTCCCTTCCCCTCACTTATCATATGACTAACCCTTCTCCCCCCTCACTTGGAAAACATTGTCAGGGCACGAGCGGAGAACGAAATCAGACCTCACTTGGTGGAGAAAGAGAACAAGGGGGGGGTAGCCGGTCCCTTGTGCCACCAAGAAGGCAAGAGAGAGGACGTCCAAAAAAAACAAAAAGGGAACAAAGCACAGCCAAAGAGCATGAAAAAAATAGGCATGTGGGAAGGGCTATGTGCTGACCCCCAACGGGGGACATTGTATGGATGTTCTTGCTTGTGTGGGATTGTGCAGGTGAGTAATGGCTAGAAATGCCTTGAGCGGGATAAGGGCGAGAGGAACAGGGTACCAAGAGGGAAAGGGAAGAGGGATAAAGGGGCTATGGGACTCTTAATATAGAGCCAATTCATGAAAATGACTTTTACACTTGAGACTTGGAAGTGTGATTGGGAGTGCAATCGTACCAAGGAAAATGTGATGTTGTCTGTGCATGCATATGAGGACCTCGAAAAGACTAAGGGGCCTACTTCAATAAGGTGGAAAGCAAATTGTGAGATCCGACGGATGCGTAGAGGCGAGGGGAAGAACGGCCCCGCGGCACCCCGATGACGCCATATAGCCAAAATGCCTAGGGAAGTGGTGCATGGCCTAAGGATGACGCTTAGCCTACGCACAAGAGAAGAGAAAGGCTCAAAGAACCCCTGGACTGCCTGCGTATTGGAAGGAGCAATTGCTTGAAAACACAATAAAGAAGAAAAAAAAATCAGCGTTGCGGAGCGACCAGCGAGACTACCACCCGGCGTGAGGGTTGAGCTACATCCCCAATGTCAAAGCTCTCTCGCGCGATGGCCCATCCCCATCCATCTCAAAGCACTAGGTGGGGGTGACCTTGGGACGAATGGCCCGCGCCCTGAGCACGAGTGTGGGCGGGCCAAGCCAACTGGGACCCGCAGTGGGGTCGACTAAGGGTCGAAAGTCTACCGGGGTTTGGCCCTACAAAAATGGTGGAGGCGACGGGCATGGGGTTAAATTGACCCTTGCGATTCCGATGGGGGCACCCGACGCATTGACGTGTACACAACCCAAAATAAGGAAAATGGACTTGTGTTTGCTCTTTCCCTTGTGAGAAATCAGATTTGAGGGTGGTTGGGCGCATGGCATGGCCAGGCCTGGAGGTATAACATGCATGCTATGCACTTGATCAACCATTTCCTTGTGGAATGGTTCTAGCCCTCCTTCGTCCGGTGCTGGTGTTCGCCAGTCCGGGGAAGCCTTGGGCAAGTCGCAGGTCAACCCTCCCTCTTCATATGAAAGAAGGGCTCCGGTTACCTGGCAGGCGGTTGGTGCTTGGCCTAGGCCAGGCTCCAATGAAAATCCCGCGGCGGAGTGATCCGACCGGACGGGTGCCCTTCTATCTCCTTGTTTGAGCCCAGTGGGCTCATGCACTTTGCACCTTTTTTTTTAAATGCTTGAAGGAACCAATATGAACACAACGGGTTATCAAAAAGGAACAATCCTACCCTATGAAAGGACAGACAAGTGAAGAGAAGGGAAATGAAGGGATTTGCTAAACTCCAAGGAAAACTAGCTCACCCTTGAAGATTCTCACGAGAAGGAACCAACCACTATGTATGAAAGTAAGGGGAGTGACACTCATTGTCCTGAGAGAAAATCTGAGTTATGGGTAGGAAGCGCTGGGTGCACCAAGGGAAATATGTGTCTCGCTCGGGACTTGTGTTTGCATGATGGGATTCGAGCATCCTGCCTTTCGGAAGGAAAGGATTGGTCTGCACCGGCCAGTGCGGGTTGCCAAACATCGTTCTCTTTGCTGGCTGCCGTTTGTTCGTATGCGGGGGTCAGGCCACCGAGCTGTCTAACGAGAGTTTGTCACGTCGAGTGCTTATTAGCATCCTCGTCCGCGCAGTGACGGGCTTCGGCTCGATTGATCTGTCGGGCGGGGTGTGAAACGTTCCTCAGGCGGGGCCTAGCCTGTGGACTGGCGGAGGGAGCACCGCTGCATGGGGGCAAAGACGGAGCTTGGGAGGCGATCAGTAGCTTCTCGTAGCATGGTTTTGGGAAAGGCTGATTCTTGTCGGACCGATGGAAGTGAATGCCCGGACGACTGACTTTGTCCCTGTATTTAGGCACTCGAGGTAACCCTCGATGTCGGTATGGATGTGCAATGCGGCAAGAAGGGATGGGGTATTCTGGGTAAGGAGGAAAGGGCAAAAGCCTTGTTAAGACCTGGGTACCGCGCTCGCGACAGTTGAGCTGTGCTTGAGGTATGGGATAAGACCCTACCAATAGTACCAGCGGAGAGACCATATTGGGATGGCCGGTGAGGAGATGACCGGCCCATATGTGAGATTGCCTGATTTTTTTTTATGTACCCTCCCCCGTAAAGATTGATTGAGCTTGGATTGTTGGACGGGTATTCTTTTAAGTCTATTCCCCCTCTCTTCTAAGTCCACACGAGTGAGAGATGATCGGAAGGAAAAAGGATAAAGGTCAATTAGAGTGGGACCAAGAGAAAGAATGTGGACAAATGGGTGGCTGACCGAGGGAATTATGGGAAAAGAGGTACTTAGGAATGGGAAGGTAAATTAGGGAGACCTTAATGGGGGGTCTGAAATAATCCTCATTTAAGAAAAGAGGTTGACCTGACCAGAAGAACCGGTTGGTACTCTTTCATGAAAAACAGGGGCCGGGTGCTGGAAACAAGATGGCGCGATGGTTGCCTTTCCCGATCTATACTAGCGGCCCGGAAATGCCAGTAGATGTAAAGGATGGGGTATCGGTCGTCCTCCCGGAAAATGGAACGTGGACGGACCTTGAACCAGCGTATCAAACGGTAATGCTGGAAGGAGATGATACTTTCCTTTGGATAGAAACAATATGGACTAATGTCAGCTTGACGAGGTTGTCACCAAGTTTAATGGATTTGGAATTCCGGGGGACAGTGGAGGCCCGGGGGTGGGTCTACTTGTCGCAAGACGGGGAGAAAGCTATGATCATAGAGTTGGCACTCGGGAATACGCCGGATGAATTGTTTAGGAAGGCGGGAGCGGAGGTCGTGTGGGCTGCGTGTCAACGAAGGGAGATGGAAATGGAGAGGGTAGATGTGCGGGTGGAACTTGGGGATAGAGGAAGCATGAGGCGACCCGTAAGAACCATGCGATGTATGCTGCCTCCCTTCCTAGTGGATGCGGTTTTCGGAAGTTGGAGCAGGCTGGTACGGATATGCCAGTCCATGACAAACCTCGGGCTATACCAATGCGCTAGGCAGGATTTTTTTCGGTTATCAGTAGAGATGGTCAAGATACTAAACTCCCTTAGCATAGACAATATCTTTGTCCCTAGCGTTGTGCATTGGGGGATAGTATACAGGAATGTGGCAATAGGGGAGACATTTCTAGATGGGGTAAGGGAGTTGGTATATGACGAGGAGGACGACTTCAGTGATGAAGACGAAGATGAAGAGATAGAGGACTGAGACTTCTAAGAGGGGTGGGAAAACTTAACTTAGGGAGGACGGGTGGTCTGGTATTGTGCAGGAAAGGGGAAAATGACTAGAGAAGAAAGGATGATGGAATACCCCTTCAAAGGCTGGGAACCACGGCGACTCAGAGGAGGAATAAAAATGCCTATACCAACAGGGAACGGATGGAGAGGGACCACGTGCGATTGGATTGGGTTTGAGGTTGCCCGGGACTTGTCATATGTATGGATAAAGCGGATTTGGAACCCGATAAGGGAAGAGGAAGGATGGGATGATATAGCAGAAGGCAAGGTAGAGTCAGTAGGAACGATCGTCCTTTCCGAGAATGGGTGGCACCTGTCTTGCACCATGTTAGCAATGGGACAGGACCCGATGTGGCTTCTAGGGGATGCAGAGGCCCGAACCCGAAAGGAAGGCAAGTTATTTGCCAACGAGGGATGGGACAAAGTTAGTAGCAGCGTTGTGATGGAAGGATGGAAGGAACTCAAGCCTCCAAGTCTACGGATAACGGCTTGGGTGCCGGGATTCATAGCCGAGTGGTTTGGGGGGTTAGAGCACATTTTAGAAGTAGCCGACTCCATGAGAAAGGTGCATATAGAGTGTGAGTGTGCCTGGATGACTGAGGAGTTCTATAGGCTCTCATTGAAATATGGGTCCTTCTACGGAGATAAAGCCGAGGAGGTCATCATCGTCCTAAGAATAGGCAGGTATGACCGCCTAGAGGTAGAGGCGGAGTCTTGGGACGTCATAATTAGCCGGGAGGCGGCGGCTGCACCCTCCTACGTAGACGACGTCTTTAAACTATTTGAGGTGTTGTGGTTAGACTGAATGAGGCCAAGGGATCGAACACGGCGAAAAGGCCTGAGTATGGAGGGTGCTTGTGAAACAAGGGGTAACATAAGCAAGGGAGTGTGTACAGTGGGCCGTAGATGGTGCATACAGATCGGAACAAGGGGAAAGTGACAGCAACTGGAAAATGGGGATCGGGTAGAATTGAACGTGTATGAGTTGGGGATAGCGGCAAGAACCAGTGTACGATAAGTAGGGAGGGTTGAAAGACTAAAACACGGAAGGCATGGAATCTCGGTGGGTGCAACGATCGGACTAAGAAAGCAGGAAAGGAGACTTTGCGAGATGGTCCGGCGAATGACGTTTTGGGAGGATAGACCTCGTGGGATCCTGCCACCAAGAATATCAGAAGGCAGGGCCGAAATAAGCCTACCGGCAAGAAATACGATAAGCAATCCAGTAATGGACTGGGTGGGGATAGAGTTGGCAGAAGATACGGTGTACCTAGTAGTAAAGCTGGAATGGCGTGCGAGAGGGGAGTTCGGGGGCATAGACTTGAACCGCCCAGGGCGTGTACATGCGACGGGATCCTTACACCTGTCAGAAGAAGGATGGCGGACCCTTAGGATTGCTTTGGCTTCCGGGGATGCCCCCGTACGAATGTTCGAAGGGGCATGGCAAATAACCTGGCGGGAGGGGTTTGAGTTTGCAGATCCGGAACGAGATGACGTGACGGCTGAGGTAAAAGTCGCCGCGGCAGGGGGTTTTGAGCGGCCAAATGAGGTCGTGCGGATGAGTCTGTCACCCTTCCTGCTAAGACAAATGGGAGGCATAGAACGAGTGGAGTAGGCGGTGACTGCCGTAACTAGGCTAAATTTTGACGAAGCGTTAATGTATCGAGAATATTATCGGGCCTTTCTAGAGATGGGGCCTTTCGGGGACGAACAAGGGCGCGAGGTGCTTTGCATTCTACGAGCGGCAATAGATACTAGGCCAGGAGTCCCACAAATAAATGACGAGGCCTTGTGGAGAGTCATCCGGCGAAAGGTAGGTCGGGGCGCGACCTACATAGACGATCTCTACCGACTGTACGAACAACAAGAGGAGGCTACTGCTCCCGGGGGTATAGAGGGATAGTTGGGACTAGAAAGGGAAATGAAAACACGAAGGACAAGGGGGCAGTAGGTGGACGGTTTCTAAGGATTGACTGTAACACTTTCTATGTGGATCATGCAGGAAATCACCAAGGTAACCATGGCAGCAAGACGTGAGCATATGAAACCCCGTGTGCGAATGGTGCGCCAACCCCGGTACCCCGGACCGCCGTGGAATAACGGTGGACGCTGGGAAGTATTCCTCCCGTCGAGTTCAACTTATCGGGGGTTCGATATAGAATGGCGGGATGTGACTTTGGGGAGGGACGCCGCCTTCATGTTGGTAGAATGTCAGTGGACAGGGATGAGACTCGACCGAGGACCCGGGGACGATCTGTTTTCCAATCCGGAAGTTACCGGGACCATGTATCTGCCTGAGATCGGCTGGCACTCGTTGGGGGTAGAGATAGCACAAGGTCACGAGCTGGCACCGGTTTTTCAAAGGGCCGCCCGGACGTTGACCCGGATAGGACAATCAGTCAGGGGTAGAAGGAACGTGGGCTTACTTACCCGGGTGGAAATGGGGGGATGGCGTGAATTCAGAGCACCAACCACGCCACTGAGGTGCCGCGTCCCCCGTTTTATGATAGATCTCGTCTTCGGGAGCCTCGCAAGGGCGCGAGAGCTGGCAAACTCGGCAATAACGTGGGCATACCACTTTCCCTCTCTAACCATCAGGATGTTCTATGATGTCGCCGTGAGGCATGGGCCGTTCTGGGGAAACAGGGCCCACGAGTTACTGGAGGTCATCCATATCTTGATATTTCGTGCGCCCTGGCTAGACCAGACAGGGCACGAACGCATAATCCAAAGGGAAATCGAGATAGGAGAGAGCTATTTGGCAGGGGTGGCTGAGCTATTCGAGGAGCCGACTGAACCGGAAGAACCACGAGGGCGCGAGCGGGACTAGGATCCGCAGGCAGACCAATAGGGCAGATCCAGTATAGTTCGCTGCGTACGGAAATCCGCCGATGGGAAAAAGAAAGGGGGCTCGGACCCGGATGGCTAAAACCCATTAGGAAAACAAAGAAGGGGGTAAACTTCTAATGATTGACCACAACCCTGAAGGTCAAAAATAAGAAACACTGCTTGGAAAGACTTTCCCTAGCAGGATGCCTAACCCGGACTCCCTCGCATCGGCCCGACGGGACAAGGGCGCTACAAAGAGGCTTGTGATAAAGGAAGCCAAGTCACGCTCATAGCTCGGCTGAGCGGCAGGGCCAGTCGTGGCTCCTCCTTAAGGAAGGGCAATCAGGAAACAAGGATGGGAAAGGAGGCTATACAGATAAGCCAACAGGGCTGGGAGCCTAGGAAACCTAAAATACCTCGCATTGCGTGGGTCCTGGGAATTCTTTGGCTTATGCAGAACTTGGCAAAATGGCAACGGAGGAGGAGACAGATAATCATAAGAGTGAAGAAGAACCGGGCTTAGGAGGCAGTGCCGCACAAAGCAAAGGGGGGCAGAAGGACAGAGAATCGATAAATCCGGATGGTACCAAAGGAAACCGGAAGGAGATCTCCACAGGGGAAAGCTCGGGGAAAGCTGGGGGAAGCAGGCAGGGGACTCAGGGGACCAAGGAAGGCAGCAATAAGAATAGGACAAGCCCCGGGAACTCGGAAGGAGCCTTCTCCAAGAAAGTGAGAGTCACAGATACGAGGCGCAGACTAGCCGAGATAGACAAAAAGACCGTGGAGTACAAGGCGAGATTGATTGAGGAAATGATGATTGGGAACAAAGAAGGCTCTCTGCAGGAGGAACCCCGGGACGAACGGAGAACCGGCCGAGGAGGGACTGAACAAGGGGATAAAGGTAGTGACCGTGGGGGAACACCGAGCAAAAGAAGGAAAGAAGGGGAGAACTCTTCGGGAATGGACGTGAAAAAGGCTACGACCCTGCCAGCCATAGATAGTAGGGCTAGCCGCCTGCCGACCACGCTAGCAGTGACGCGAGGGTGCGAAGGACTCTGGAGCCTTAGGGAAAGAGTGTTGGGATGGTTTGACCCAGAAGGAACTACGAAAACCAGGGAGGGACAGAAGGCCGACAAGGAAGGTCCGGATAACAGTGTGACAGGCGAGGCCAACAGCTCTGAGGGCGGCCTTAAGCAGATAGTATCGTCCCTCGCGCGAGCACTAAACAAAAATCAAGGCTACCTAGCGGATGCTAAGAAAAAGTTGACGTTTGATGGGGCGAACATCACGCAATTCCTGATAGATTACGAGAACCTGGCTGCGCTGTTGAAATGGACCGAAGAGGAGAAGATGGACCACCTGGGACAACATGTGTCTTTGAGCCTAGGACGGGACATAATGGCCATCGTAGCCGCAAGCCGATCTTGGAAAGAAACCCGGGATGTGATGATGAGAAAGTATCTGGCAGCAGAAAAGATGGCAACGGAGGCCGATTTAGCAGCAGTCCAGACAAAGAACTTTGCAACATACAATGACTTCCTACGGGAGTTTACTTTGGTAGCACTAAGAATCCCCGGGGTTACGGATCGAATAATGAGTAAGTATTTCCTCAAACAGTTCTCCGAGTTCGACAAGGACAAGATCCTGTCGGCTTACCAACAGACGAGCAAATTTGTAAACACCAGGGACGTTAATTTCAGTACGGTAACGGATCTGGCCGAAAAGACGGTAGTGACCGAGACATTGGCCTTGCTTAAGGAAGGGGAGATTATAGACTTGACCAGTAGGACGGGCGACAAGGTGAAAAAGGGGATTGAAAGCCTACACGAACGGGTGCACGGAATCGATAACAAGATTGAAAGGATGGAGAGCGCGCTACTAGTTATGCAGGCGCAAGTATCCCGTCCCCCCCTCCCGCCCTAGGAAGCAGTAGTTCCGCCAGGAGTGGCCAATCGTGGGTTTAGACGGAGAGACCCCGCTAACGAGCAATGCAAGTACTGTACCGCGATAGGACATTATGTGCTCGCGTGCCCAAAGCTCAACCATGATATTCTGAAAAGAAGATGTACCAGGTCGTTAAAGGGGGAGATATTTGGACCACAAGGGGAACGGGTGAACTGGAACTCGCCAGGAGGGATGCGGCGAGCCATTATCAGGCTCAACGAGCTAGAAATAACAGCCGTAGAAGCCGAACCGGTAGGCGATATCATCTGGGATCAACGCCAGGGGCGAGGGCCGCAGGTCAATTTCATTTTGGAAAACGACGGACATGATAGGGTGAACGCGACTACTCAGCTAGGGACGGTTGGGAGAAGGATTAACCGTGACACCGTGATGGAGGAAGTTGTTGGAAGTTCGGAACCCTAGGCAGAGCCTGAGGCCGAGGAACCGGAAAAGGTCTATGGGAAACCTAGGGAAGAGGAGTCTACAGACAAAGTTTCAGCTGCCAAGAAGTTTAGGTACCAAATCCCGATCTTATCCTTACCTGAGATCGACGACACCATTAGCAAGTTTCTAGGGACCATGGTGTCGGTGTCTTTTCAGACTATGCTGCAGGCTAGCCCTAGGTTGCTCAAAGGGCTTGGACAATTGTTGACCCGGCGGCGAGTAGAAATAGGCGACAACCCCGAACTACCTGAAGGGGAGAGGGAGGAGGAAGCTCCGCAAGAAGTAGCTAACCTTCAGAGGAGTTGCGGGGACTTGGAGGATCTCGAGAAAGCTTTTGCGGACATTCGTTTGAGTTTGCCCGACCGAGAGGGCGGCGAGGTCATGAGGTCACCTCCCGGAACAAAGCTTAGCTTTCATGCACTGCCCGTAGGGAAGCTGAAAATCCAGATCGAGACTCATCATACCGACGCGTTAGTAGACGGGGGTGCATTAATCACCCTTATAAGAAGAGATTTCGCAACGATCACGAGATGTACGGTAAACAAGGAAGTATTAGGGAGCATCCGGGGAGCTGGCGGGGAAATCCCGTTTGCTGGGTACGTCACGAAGTGTGCTGTAAAGACAGGGGTAAGGGAATTAATCTGGTCATTTCAGCGGATGACCTTAATGGAGGAAATGGACCACGACATAATCCTCGGGAGACCGTGGTGCGCAAACGTAGAGATGATAGGCATGCACTTGCATGATGGCTCATACATGGTAGACATAGAGGACCCGGTGACCGGCCGGGAAGAGCTCCTCCGACTCCTTGGAACGGGAGGAGACCCCCCGAGGGGGAAATTGGCAACATGGTCGCCATCATTCGAGGATAGCACGCAAAAAGAGGCTTTCGCACGGATGGAGGGTATAAGAGAAAGGGTGGAAATCATGATTAAGGAAGCGTTCAACAAGGAGTGGATCAAGATGGGCCTGCCCCAGAAGAAGAGGAGGCAGGAGGACGAAGTCCTAGGTGTTATGGTAGCAGAAAAGGAGTCAGAGGTCGAACTTGGTGCTAGCCTGCCCAAACGGAAAGAAGTGCGCGTAGATATGTCGAAAATCGCACTCGAGATCCGCGATCTATTGCAACTCATCAAGGCCCTCAGATACCACAAGGTAGGAGTGGATTCGGCAGCCTTGGCCAAGTTCGAAAGAGAGGTGCAAAAGGGATATTGCCTGAATGGGAAATTAGTTAGTACTCAACCACGAGTCATAGAAGCGACGGGGGCAATTCCGGCTGTTCATTTTTTAGGAGAAAGATCCCGGAAGGAAGTGTTCGAAAGTACAAGCCGGTAGGGAAGAAAGCAAAACCGGTCTCGATCCTGCTAGAGACATCAAAGGAAGAGGCTATGGAGAAGGAGGAAGAGATCCTTCGAATGATCCGAGAAAAAAGGGCGACGGAGGGACATCGGATACCAGATGAGGTAGCAGACACAATGAAGATAGGGATAGACGGGTTTTTAACAGAAGAAGAAAACGCCATACGCAACGACGGGTTTTTAACGAAGGGGCCATCCTATGAATTTGGGATAGCGGGAGAAGTAATAGACCTCCTCCGAGCGAAGATGGACTCCTTCGTTGCGGAGCCTACGACATCGCCATACGCAAATCGGTGGTTCGTCTTTCGGAAGCCTAACAAGACACTAAGGTGAATTCAGGACCTGCACAAATTGAATGCGGTAACCATCCGGGATGTTGGCTCGCTACCTCAGGCTGACTTATTAGCAAAATCGCACGCCGGACGGAGCATTTACTCCTTGATAGATTTAAACTCAGGATACGACCAGCTTCCATTGGATATTCGGGACAGGCCATACACCGCTATGCACACCCCCGTAGGCCAGCTACAGATGCAGGTGACACCTATGGGATTCACTAGCGCAACGCAGGATGCTCGCCATGACCGGAGACATGTTCCCAGAAAAATGTGAACCTTACATCGATGACAATCCGATCAAAGGCGCGCAGGAAAAGGACGAGACGGAAGTCCAGCCAGGGATCCGACGTTTTGTGTGAAACCATCTGCAGGACATGAAGGACTTACTCCGCCGGTTCCTAGTATGCAACATTACGGCTAGTGGACCAAAGAGTATCCTAGCAGTACCGGAGGTGACTATACTAGGATTTCGTTGCGGTGCTTACGGCAGGAAGCCGGATCCGGCAAAGACCGACAAGATATCACAGTGGCTGACGCCACTGCGCACGACGACGGAAGTAAGGGCATTCCTAAGCGTGGTCGGTTTTTTTAGGATCTTTATTAAAAACTTTGCCAAGATCGTTGAGCCTATCCGGGCTATGATCAGGGAAGAAGGAACCATGGATTGGACGGAGGAGCGAGAAGGAGCTGTCCAAAGACTCAAGGACATATTGACATCTGAGACAGTCGCCCTGTCCGCGCCTTGTTTTAATGACGAAGTGGGACGACCCTTCATCCTAGAGACGGATGGAGGACCTTTGGCTGTAGGAGGTGTGTTGATCCAAAGGGATGAGGAAGGAAAAAAAAGGCCGATTATGTTCGAAAGTAGAACCCTGAACTCCGCAAAACGGCGGTACTCGCAGTTCAAGAAGGAAGTCCTAGCCATCCTGCATTGCCTTAAGACCTTCCAGGCCTACCTATTTGGGAGGCGGTTCATCTTAAGGATCGATCCGACGAATGTCGCAGGGGCCTTAAAGAATTACAGGCCTATAGATCCGACGGTAGGGAGATGGGTATGATTCATCTGGCAGTTCGATTACAAGATCGAACGGATTGCTGGAATCCGTAACAAGGCAGATGGGCTGAGTCGGGCTTGCATCACTCCCGAAGGGATGGAGGATGCAGAACCCATAGACGCCTTCCTCGAATACGAAGGAGGAACTCTTGCAGTGGATAACGAAATGATGAGCGAGGGATGCACATCGGGAGAACTATTGATCCAGACTTTGCAGAAGGGGACACCTGCCGTAGTAGCTGAACTTAGGCAAGGCCCAGTTACCACTCGAGGACGCAGAGAAGAAAATGACTCATGGGGAGCGATAGTAGGACCGAAGGAGGAGCTGATAGCAATGGCGGTCGAAGGGGGCCGGGAAGCAGTGATGAGCTTAGTGGAATCTTGGGAAAGGAAAGTGTTGCAATGGGTGGTAAATCAGATGCAGAAAGGAAAGGATGGGGGCAAGGAAGGAGAGGATTTTTTCTATGTCCAATCATACGAAGGGCTCTTTTGAGAGATCGGTTTGTTGTTGGTAGGAAACAAAAAACCTAAGGAAGTTAGGCAAGAGAAGAAGCCAAAAGGTACGTCCTAAGGGGCGGGCATTCGTTCCGGAGGGAGGAAGGTGCTATGCCCAGAAGGGTTGTGTGCGGAAGGTCTAGGCAAGTAGACGTTATCCAGGCAATGCACGACGGGTTAGTTGGAGGTCATCGGTCTTCCAAAGGAACACTTGCAAAGATAACGCCGCTCTATTATTGGCCAGGCATGGCAGGCATGGTCGCCATATACTGCCAGACTTGCCTTATTTGCCAAGAACGAAGCTCGGTACGAGTCTTCGAGCCGCTTAGACCAACGCGGGTGCTAGGGCCGGGACGTCTAGTCCACCTCGACCTTGCGGTCATGCCTGTATCAACGGATGGGTACAGGTATATCCTGGATGCGCGAGACAACTTGAGTGGGTTCGTGGAGGCAGTCGCCCTCAAGAAAAAGACAGGGAGGAGTGTGGCGGACTGGATAGAAGACTTCTACTTAAGGCACCCGTTCGTCAGGAGGTTTATAGCAAACAATGAGACGGAATTTGTGAACCAAGAAGTATTGAGGATGCTTAAGAGACTCTGCGTACCGATCAAACTCATCGAGCCGTATCACCCTGAGGCCAATGCACCGGTGGAAAGGGGGCACCGAACCTTGAAGAACACGATTGCAAAGCTCGCAGCAGACCATCTAGGGAACTGGCCTAGGTATCTTAAGCAGGCTGTCTTTGCAGAGAATATGACTCCTAAAAGGACAACAGGATGTATCCCGACAGAGCTTTGGTACGGAAGAGAGATCGACTTTCCTGTGGAAGCCTTAGTACCTACCTGGAATAGGTTAGATGATGATCCGCAAATGACCACTGAAGAGTTAATCGAGGCAAGATGTCAACAGATCCTTAAGAATGAGGAGGACATGGAAGACATCACCAGCCGGGTGCTGGACAGCAGAATGAGGGACAAAGCAAGGTGGGACCAGGTTAAGAATGTCAGAAAGGAGCCACTTCAGGTGGGGGAGATGGTATTGCTAAGGAACTCGACACTAGAAAGTACTTGGTCGGGACAGTTGGGAAAAAGGTTGAAAGGCCCCTACCGGGTCCCCAAGCGGGTGGGACTGAACACCTTCGAACTGGAAGATTTGGATGGAACTGGATTGAAAGGGGCCTTCCCGGGGCAACGACTGGTCAGGTTTCTAAGTCAGGACCCAGTGGAACAATGGCTTCAGGAGGCCGAAGATAAGGAAACAGAGGAGCCACAAGCTAAAGACTAACCACAGCCTTGCTCACTCTATGGTTTGTCTCTGACCATGTTCGTGGGACTGTCATTTTTTTTGGGACTGGTGCTTTGGCTTGGACTGACTGAGGTTGAAAGGTAGCATGACTTGGGGGTTTGCAATATCCGGCTTGTGTCACAACGGGAAGGGATGTTTGGGGCATTGTACCATAGTTTTTTACGGGGAAAATATGGGGTCATCACAAACGACGCATTCGCATGTATAAAAAGGGCGTGATGCGAGGGATACTGGGTGCATTTTGGGAATGTCTACCGGCCTAAGGGGGGGGAGGCGTAAGTGTATGGGGGACATTGCGGGTGTTGTTTTGTGATACAGGGCTTAGGAGTAAAACGAGAAAAGACAACAATGGAATTCGGCAACGAGAACGACAACGGGGCAATCAACAGGCCTACCGGAGGGGAAGAAGTTGGACCAAGCCAAGGGAGGAGGACAGCGAAGAGAAAATTGTACATTGGGCTCATGGGCGGGCCAGTGGTAGGCAGGGGTGAAGGGAAATGTTTGTGTAGGAAACCCTCACCCCTCCGCAAGGGAGAAGGTATAGAAATATCATATGGCAGTGAGGGCGAAAAGGGAAGGGCAAATGTGGAAGACGGAGGCAACACAGAAATGGGAGATAAGGCTCGGGTCTCTAACGAGGAAGGGGCCAACAGGGGCGAACGACGTGAGACTTGGCATGGGGAAAGCAAGGGGGGACAAGGTATGCGCGACGAACGTGAGGAGGACGAGGAGAAAAGGGAGAGCCTGCTTGAAGGACGAAGCGGTCATGGCAGTTGCGAGGGGTATGGGACGGGGACAGAGATCCCTTTTACCTACGATCCAAAGAACCTTGCTGGTGGGTATAGCCCTATATAGATTGAAGACGAGGGGGACGAGGAGGAGGATGTGCGCGAAGTCATAGAAATCAGCACCGGGGATGAGAGGGATGAGATCTCAAGGCCTAGGGAAGAGGGGCGGCCTCCGATGCACCAACCAGGCGATGGGGCTTTCAGATGGGAGGACGAGTTCGGGTCAACGCCCAGTCATTGGTTTCAGCAATGGACCAATGTAATCAGGCACTGATGGATTATCAAGACTCGGGCACTCGCAAGGTCAGGGGTGGAAGCCACACCCCTGGATTTTTTCAACGAGGCTGAGTTGCATAAAATTGTAAGGATGAAAAAAAAGATCGAGACCTACTGCCTGGGGGTTAGGAAGCCTGCCGAGGAACGGAGTGGACAATGAACTAGGCACGACGAGGCGTAAGGCGGTAATAAGAACTAGGTGTTGATTTAGCATTGAAAAGGATCGCTGCTTTCTGTCTGCAGAGATATGAGAATGACGAGAACGTGTATAATATGGGCAAGCTTGCTAAGGAGGAAGTGAAAAGAGGGTCAGCTAAGGTTGTGTCACGCTAAAGTACAAGATAGTTGTCGAGGCTACTTTTGGGATGAGCTACCTTGGGTACCTAAGACAAAGACATGGGATTTGGAATGAGACCAATTGGGAGAGGGCGGATTGTGAATTTTGGATGGAACAAGGATTATGCTTTTGAGAGGGGAAAACCTTGAGTACGGATTGACGAGCAAACCATGGCATTGAATGATTGGTCGAGTACAAGAGAGGTTAGGGAACCTATGGGTTAAGGGGCGTGAAGAACTCTCCTTCCCTAAGAGCCTAATCCAACTGAGTCATGAATGAGACTGAGAATAGCCGAAACATGAGAGATCAGGAAGAGTGAAAATGGAAGGGGCGCTTTTGTCTTTTGTTATGGATGAACGGCCGGATGGGCTAGTGCTGCTTGGGGTCGCGAGCCCCAACTCGAGTGCTAGACGCTAAGTCGGGTGTACACAATGGACGGTACGTTACTGTGAGAAATGAAATGGATGGTACATTACTGTGAGAAATGGAATGGATGGTACATTACTGTGAGAAATGGAATGGATGGTACATTACTGTGAGAAATGGAAGGAAGAGAACAACACGCAAAAGATGAGATGGCCGCCTTCTAACCTCCAAGACAGAAATGGGATCCGTAACCTCGAGGCCCACCCCCTCGGGCACTAACCTTGAGAATGGAAAGGAATGACCCTAACCAGGCTGTTCGACTTGAGAATGGATAAGAACGACCCTAACCAGGTTGTTCGGGAATGGCCCCTGACAAGGGTCATTCGTTTTGAAATAGGCACTGGGGTCCCCTGCATATTGGATTGAGAAAGGTTGATTGAGAAAGGTTAATTGAGAATGAGCTGGAATGAGAGAGATGGAAAAGGCCGGTGGGTCGGTCATTGAAATAGCCAATGGGATGAATGAAAGAAATGGAAAAGGTCGGTGGGTCGGTGATTAAAAATAGCCAAAGGATGGATGAGAGAGGTGGAAAAGGCCGGTGGGTCGGTTGTTGAAATAACCAATCAGTTGAATGGAGGAAATGGAAAAGGCCGGTGGATCGGCCACTAAAAATCGCCAAGGGGGCGGAAGGAAAATGCGAAAGAGAAGAACAAGATAAAGAAGGCGGAGCCTTAAAGCCGAGAGGGGCAGGGACCGTTGGGACGGTCACAGAAATTGGGTGTTGAGGAATGAAAAAATTGAGGATTGAGTGGGCGGAAGGGTCAGTCTTGAGAAATGGCTATTGAGAGAATGACCGTCAGACCGGCCGTGAGGGTGGTTTTGTTGATAAGAGGCTGTCAGACCAGCCATGAGAATCAGCCTTGGAAATAGCATTGGATTGAATGATTGAGGATTGAATATTGCATTGCATAGGCAGGGGACCCTAGGCGACTTGAAATGGACTTGGAAATAGCATTGAAATGAATTTTTTTTTTTTCTAGTCTTTGGCCTCAGCAGGAGGGGGATACCGGTGCTCGCACCGCGACCCCAAGACCTCTATCCCTGTAAGGGAAAAAGTCTCAGCGCGACCTGTTCCTCTTGTAAGGGGATGAGGGTTAAAGGACCAAGGCACCTACCACTTGGATCGGTGCGGGACGTCCGGAACTGACCCCGACAACGAGCTCTAGTCGGGAAGTTCAAATTGCGTCTCGTGTTGAACGCCTAAATGTCAAAGGGTGAGGGAACCAAATGGGCAAGAGAGCCATTCTTTTTTTTCTAGTCTCTTTTGTTCTCCCCAACCACACGCCATGTCGTTGAGGGGCGGCATGGCCGCTTGGAATGGGCCACGGCGGCTCGCGTTAAGTTGAGCAGCACTGTCCAGAAGGGAGGAGTTGGGCGTGGTACCGGGTGGAAGCCACAACCACCACGGGGCGAGTGACACCGCCCCGCCGGAGCATTATAACCGCTTCGGGACTAATTGCGAGGTCTTCGTAACTGCACTCGTGGACTAATTGAGAGCCCCAACTCTCTTGAAAGGAAGAGGCCGGAACCAGAAAATTACCACTCGGGAGGAACGATTAGCGAGGAAGCCCTTACGGCAAGACGGGGTTCTAGGAGGCTTGGACTGGACCTGCCTTCCAGATGTGAGGAGGTACCTCAGTAATGGCGCCCGTCTCGTAAGCAGCAAAAGGTCGGACGGAGTAAGGGGATGAGGTGAGTTATCAGCAGGGGGAGGACTGATCACCCTTCCTTTTTGGGTCTGATGTGCCGGCATCCGCCTACTCGTTGGTGGGCCAAAGGTTGCGTACCTCCGAGTGAGAACCAGTCGTGCGATGGGGACATCACATTTTGAGTGGGGAGAAGGTGTGCCATCTACCAAAGAAAAAACGTGCAAAAGAGAAAGGTACCATGAGCGTAAGAATGAATGAGTAATTGACTTTGTGCATGTTTGAGAAAAGGTCTGGCAACATGTCCAGAAGAAAAGAATAAATGAGTAATTAACGTTGCATGAGCTTGAGAAAAAGTCTGACAAGATGTCCAGAAGAGAAGAAGGGATGAGTAATTGACTTTGCGCAGGCCTGAGAAAAGGCATGGCAAGATGTCCAGAAGAGAAATGGGTAAGAAATTGACGTTGCATGAGCTTGAGAAAAGACCTGGCAAGCGACTTGGGTGATTGATTTGGCATAAGCTTGAAAATGGGCCGAGTAGGACGTCTGGAAAAGAAAAGACTCGTATGCTGGACTATGTAGGGATATGAGAGAAAGACTGGCAGACGGGGAAACAGATGTGTATTTGGAAACAAGTCTGACAAGGTGTCTGAAAGAGAGATGCACAAGGGATGAACTGGGCAACATGCATGAAAAAGTTAAAAATAAGCAAGGAACAAGAAAGGACAAAGAGTGATATGAATGCAAAATTGGCAAGACCTGAGGAAAGTCGGGCGAAAGGACCCGAAGGAGATGCGTGTGGATTTGGCAAGGCCTGAGCGTCGGGGAACGGTAAAGGGAAAACATGGATTGCACACGCCGAAAAGTATATATATTTTTTTTATAAGAGTAATGAATGAGGCGAGACCAAAATGGTTTCTGCTCAAGAATGCTTCCTCGATGAAATGGGAAGACAGATTTGAAATTACGAAGCACTTAAGGGGACTTGTGCCTGGGCTCACCGATTCGAAGTGGGTATCACCACAGCAAAGGCAGCGGTTGTACTAGACAAACATCTCCCTTCCGGAGCAAATGCCTGACATTGAGTCGCATCAAAAAACTTGCCTACAATTTGTTATCAACAAAGCCAAGGCATAGAATGAGAAAACCAATTGTGCTATGACAACAAATTGTCACCCTGATAATAAAGTCAGCATACCAGTAGTTAAGTACATGGAGCAAGGAGAGCCCCATCTGCTTCATGCTACTGAAGGCGAAAGAATTATGAGCTGCCCTGCTGAGTATACAGAGTTGACTGAAGAAGAAGTTCGCGTCTCGATTAAGGGAAAGATAAAGAGGCAGAGCTATGATGGAAATGAGCAACCTGGTCTAAGTTGTAGAACCTTCGACTCCCCCATACCCTCCTCCACCCCAAGGGGCGGAAGCTAAGGAAGACATTGAGAAAAGAATGGGAAAAGAACAAAACGAACCTTGGCAAACTAACCACCCATAACACCTCACCCTCCTTTCCCGTCTACCCCTCCAAAACCCTCTAACAAGAGATTGGTGCTCGATGAGGACATCGCGAATGAGTGGGGGGAATGTGTCGGGGCTGG